AAAAAGAAGCAAACTGTTTGATCGTGTAAATAAATAACATGACAGTAAATGTACGCACATCTAGTACTTTAAGGTGGTGCCATGTGCCACTACGTTTTGGTAGACGTTCCTTTGAGAACTACTTTCTGGCGTTGCAAGTTTGTATCATCAGTTGTGTGTTTTGTAGCACTACCAACTGAAAGGACAAGACCAAATCGAATTCAATAACATTTTCTTGAAAGAAAAGGTAGATCATTTTCTACCTTATGCATTCAAAACGGGGAGACTCCGAATTCAATAACATTTCACAAGGTAGAAGTTATTTCATTGCTGAAAAATGAGTGGCATAACCTTCACATTGTAGTACTTGAAACTGTACTATGGGATGCTTAATGTTGATATGTCAATGTTTTTTATGTGGTATAATTTGATCAAATCTTTGGTTGGTTTATATATTGGCAGAGAAACTAAGAAGGGAAGATGTCCGGAGAATGTGGCAAGGAGCTACAGCGCCCATTCCGCTGATGGTTGTGAGTGAGCCCAGCAGACACAAGTTTTCAGAGGAAAAAGAGTCTTTGCAAACTTGCTTCTTTCTACTATTGTAGATCCTAATCATCATCAGCCATTAAAATTTTGTAGACTTGCTTATTTATGCTATTACTAGATCATAACGGTCAATAGTGATGACGTTTGTTGGGTCATTATGGGTAAGGTGATGACCGTGCCTCTCGTGGAAGGAAAACCGTGCCTCTCACGGAAGGAAAAAAAAAAGAGAAAACATGTTTTTTTTTCATTTCCGAGGAGGCATGGCCGTGCCTCTCACGAAAGCACAACCATACCTCTCGCGGGAGCAAAAATGCGCCTCTCGTGAAAGAAAAAAACAAAAAATGCGCTTTTTTTTGCTTCGGAGAGGCAGGGCCGTGCCTCTCGTGGAAGAAAAAAAACAAAAAATGCGTTATTTTTTTTCATTTCCGAGAGGCACGGCCGTGACTCCCGCGAAACCACAATCGTGCCTTTCTCGGAAGCAAAACCGTGCCTTTCACGGAAGGAAACAAAATGGAAAACGCATTTTCTTCCGTTTCCGAGAGGCCGTGACTCGCGAAACAAAATCATGCCTCTCGCGGAAGCAAAACCGTGACTCTCGTGAAGCAAAACCGTTTCTCTCATGGAAGCAAAACCGTGACTCTCGCGAAAGGAAAAAGAAAAAAAAAACTTGTTTTTTTGCGAATTTTTTTTTTGGTTCAAAAGTTCAGGAAGACTGGTGGAAAACCGAAACATCGAAAAAACAGAAAAAAGACGTTTAAAAAGCCAAAAACGCGTGCGGAAAAATAAAAAATAAATAAAATTCGAAGGGAGCGTCCAGAGCGCGACACGTGGCGGGTGGCGCCGATCGTTGCGAGGCTCCCGAAGGAGCGCTCGTTAATTAGTTGCTCTCCTTTTGGGAAGCTTCCGAAAGCTTCCAAACCTGATCTTTTTTCTTGGTTTTTGTAGGCTAGTTCTTTTGTTTTACGTTTGCTTTCTCTGCTCTTTCTTTTCCATTCTTCTTCACGTTTTTTCCTTCTTCATTTGTTTCTTACATGGGCAAAGGTTTTTCAATTTTGTGATTTTTTCATATTGATAAACATTTTTTTCAACACACATAACTTTTTTGAAATCATAATTTTTTTAATCTGCAAACTTTTTTAACATTCCTTTTTTTTCAAAATAAGTGATATTTTTCAAATTTATGAGTTTTATTCAAAATCTACGAACTTTTTCATATCCATGAACGGTTTTTTCAAATCTGTGATCTTTTTTCAAAATTCATGAACTTTTCTAAATTTGTGAACAGTTTTTTTCTAATCGATGGACATATTTTCCAAGTTGATGAACTTTTTTCAAATCAGTAATTTTTTTAAATGGATGAATATTTTTTAAATAGGTGAAACTTTTTTTCCAAAATCCCAAACTTTTTGCATTGGAAGAACATGTTTGTTTTTTGTGAACATTATTCTTTTTTTAGTTAATTTTCTTGAAAGTCAGGATTCAATTGTGACCACAAACCGAGAAAACCAACGACTATCTGAACTAGTGATCGCCTCCTTTTGTTGGGGCAACCCATAAGGTGTGGCGTGTGGGCGTCAGTTACTCTTCCTGGCGCTTAAGGCGCTAGGGAGGAGCTCTCGGGGAACCCCTAGTCAGCGCCTTCAGCGCCGCCAATGTAAACCGGCGCTCGCAGGCAGTCTCTCGTGGGCCGGCCCAGGAAATGCTACGCAGACGCTAATAGCGCAAAAAATTAACAGGAAAAGTAGACTGTTACAGGAATCGAACTAGCGCACTTACGGTGGTGCTTGTGTCAGGACAACCAACAGGCCTACTTAGCACTAGTGACAGAATGCGTCGCGAATTTTCTAAGGCTGGTCATAGTGGGGAGTAACTTAGACTAGTAACATACATATGTTACTAGTCTATGTTACTACCTTCATAGTGGGTAGTGTTATAGGTGTGGTAACATAGTTGCCTTCATTTATTACTTTGTAGACTCATTATGCATTGAAAACCGCTATGTGATGGTAACATATTATGTTACTCTATTTGCCTCTCTCCTCATTAACTACTTGCCACATCATCAATTTTGCTTATGTGGCATCTATGTTACTATCTATGTTACTCCCACTATGACCAGCCTAAGAACATTGCGGCCGCGCTATTTATTGCATAGAAAACTTGTACGGTTTACTTTTACAGCTTGGATTTTGAATTTCTTGAACATTGTACGTTTTACTTTATATCTTGAATTAAAGTTCATTAAAATTGAAAAAAATCATCAAAATTGAAAAAAGTTCATCCATTTTTTAAAAAGTTCATCCAGTTTTTGAAAAAAGTTCACAAACTTGAAAAAAAGTTCACAAATTTTAAAAAAGTTCATAGAATTTTAAAAAAGTTCATCAAATTTCAAAAGAAAGTTCATTCAATTTAAAATAAGTTGATCAATTCTGGAAAAAGTTCATCGATTCTGAAAAAAGTTCATCGAATTTGAAAATAAGTTCATCGATTCTAGAAAAAGTTCATCGAATTAAAAAAACACAAACTAAAGAAAACAAAGAAAGATGAGAAAAAAAAGAAAAAAAGAAACTCAACCGAAGAACGACATAAAAAAGAGGAAAACCAGCCACACTTTCACTCGCGGGCGGGTGTCCTGGTGGCTATTGCCGTGCGCTTGCAACAAAGGGGTCGCGTGATTCCCCTCGCCGCACACTTTTTGCGTGTTCCAGAGACAACAAAAAAAAAACCAAACAGGCCGGCCCAATTGGAAATGCCTGCAGGCGCCGGTTGGCGAGCTCTCGTGCAGCCAACAGGAAAGATCCTCTAGCATGAACTGCAAGCCTTTTCGAATAGGCCTCACCTCTCCTTAACGTCATCGTTACACCAGAACCGAAAAAGGACAATAAAAGGCCCCAAGGTTTCTGTTGGACTCCTAAAAAAACTTGAAACTGGAATTTGTACCAAAAGCCTACATAATTTTGAATATATAACTTTTTTTCCATAAATTACCATGTACTCCCTTTTTTCTGTTGTCATGTTAGAAATGGATCAGAACTTGAAAAACTTAGCAATTATGTTTTAAAGCCGTGTCGGTACGAATAGATCAAAACAATTATGAGACTGCAAGAAAAGTGCCAAAAATTTTACATACATAGAAGAACTTTGGCAAAATTATGCTTGAACTAAAATTTTTGTCATTGTTTCAAAAAAAAAGTTTTCCAAACTACCATGTTGTATCATAAAATTTGTTATGTTTCAAAAAATAGTTTACAAAAAAAGAATGATGGTTAATAACAAGATTTCATGGTGGTGTAAAAACAAGGAAGTTTGCCATGATTAAAGTAATAAATTTGCCATGGTCTAAACAAAAGATTTACCATGGTTAAAGTTATCACTTTTAGCTAGATGTAACTTGCCTGAAAATAGAATTTGGGCCAGTCGATGTTTCTGACTGTTGGTGATGCTTCATGGTTTGTGCTCCCTTTTTTCTGCTGTGTGATGTGTCTTGTTTTGGACTGGAAATTTTTGACTGACCTCTCTATTTTGGGTCTATCAATTCCTTAACAGGTTGGCCCATTAGCTTGTGCGACCCAACAAGTTCTATGTAGCCCATATGAACATCCATCCCTCCCCACTCTACCTTAGTTTTTTATGTGTTTTCGATTTTGAATTTTATTTTTCTTTATTAGTTTGTTTCAAACAATCTGGTTACTTTTGCGCTGACGAGCAATGTGCGCAAGAGTGTAATCGTGTGGCGAAGCGAGCGTAACTCAGATGGTTAGGTTTCTTGTGGTGGAACCAGTCCACCAGGGTTCAAGTTCTAGACTTGGCACGGTGCTCGCATTTTCTTAAATTTATTACAATCTTTGTGCCGATGTTCATGCAGTGGGAGGAGAAATTCCCGTCGACCACGAGGCACGTCTGGTGACTTCGTGGGTAACAAACATCACCAATTCACCATCATCAAACGTGGGCACAGGCATCCAGTACACATCTATGGGTAA